ATGAATGAGCAATTTCGTGACTGGCTCGATAAATTTGTTGTGATATATCTAGAGATGATATCTTGATTTTCAGCGGTAGTTTAAGTGAGCATTGTGAGCACCTTCGACTCGTGCTAAATAACTTGCGTGAGGCAAAACTGAAATCGAACCCTAAGAAGTGCGAGTGGGCAAAACGTCAGGTATTATACTTGGGGCATGTTATAGACGGAGATGGAATTAAACCGGAAGACACAAAAATTGCAGCTATTCGAGACGGGCCCAACCCACATACGTTGAGGAAACAGCGATCGTTTATTGGGTTGGCTAACTATTATCGCAAGTTCGTAAGACACTTTACGATAATTGCTGCTCCCCTTCGCAGACTGTTGAAAAAGGAAACTATATGGAAGAGGGACCAAGATTGTACGTCCTCGTTTAAACGTACAAAGAAATGTTTGATTAATTATCCGGTTTTGAAGGTTGCTGATCCTTCTCTGCCCTTTGTTGCTACTACCCACGCCAGTCAGTATGGGATAGGCGCTGTACTCCAGCAAGATGACGGGAATGGATACAGGCCTGTGGAATTTATCTCGATGACTGCCTAGTGAGAAGGTCGCCGCTTCCACATATGAAAGAGAGTTGTAAGCACTCCGGGAAACTTTGGACCATTGGCGTGATTACCTCCTAGGTCGCCACTTCAAAGTGTACTCAGATCATGAGACACTTCGCTGGCAGAAAACGCAAGCCCGAATGACACCTCAAGTGACTACGTGGGCTGCGGAAATCAATCAATATGACTTTGAACTAAAGCCAGTAAAGGGTCAGTATAACGTTCTTGCTGATGCATTCAGTCGAAGATCTGACTTTTTCGATACTATTGTAGCTTACTTGGACGTAGGCACTGATGTTCAAGATAAGATTAGGAATGCTTATTCCACTGATCTTGTTTATGGCGGTATGCTGAAACATGTTCAAGAAGCGCCACAAAAGTTTCCTAACTATCGAGTAACCCAAGGACTGTTGTTTGAAAGAACTGATGTACATGATAGGCTTTGTATTGCGGACAAGGAAGAAGTCAAAAGTATAATCTTGGGGAATGCCACGACACAGAACACCATTTCGGATGGAAAAAGACTTACGCTAATCTCTTGCGTTCGTACACGTGGCCTCATATGAAACCTGATTGCATTTCATATGTGCAGGGCTGTGAAGTGTGCCAGCGAAACAAAAGCACCACACAACCTCCTCTTGGTCTTTTGAAGCCTTTGCCTATTCCAACAGGTCCTGGAAACTCTGTGTCTATAGATTTCATGAACACTAAGGTGAAAAGCAGGAATGGGAAAAAGCCAAGTCATGGTAACTGTTGATAGGTTCAGCAAGTTTGCTGTTTTTGTAGCGTTACCTGCGGAAGCCAAAACTGATTTAGTAATTTGAGAAGTCTTTAACCACTGGGTAAAGGACTATGGTCATCCCTTGACTATTGTTAGTGACAGAGACTCTCGGTTCAGCAGTGAACAATGACAACAACTAATGAATGTCTATGGCTCTAAGCTGATGATGTCCTCAGGCCGACACCTTGAGACAAATGGGCATGAACAAGCTTCTGCAGCAGACGTTGCGTATGTACATTCGTCCCGATCAGATTGATTGAGATGAACATTTGCCCAAAGTTACTAGTGCCTACAACAACTCTATGCACTTGACTACTTGCAGAACTCCGATGGAGTTGCATTTGGGATGGAGTCCTCGCAGACCTATAGACTGTCTGAACCCGGATAGAGCACATAAACTTCCGCCAGGGACCAGAGAGTTCACAAAGCAATATCTGAAAGATTTAGGGAAAAAAAAAGAACATAATAAAAGCACAGCGTCGAATGGTTGAACAGGCCAATAAGCATAGGAGACCTTCTCAGTTTGCTATAGGCGATCTGGTATGGGTAAAGTCAAAGGAATTTATCGCAGAAGAAAATATTTCCCAGAAATTGTTACCTGCCTATAGAGGACCGTGGCAAGTATTGGATGTGATAGGGGATGTAGATGGACCCTCCTATGTTATTGAAATGCCCCCACCCTCCTATGTTATTGAAATACCCCCACACTTGCATACCTACCCGGTTTTCTATGCGTCAAAGCTCCTACCTTGTGTAACTAACGAGTTGTTCCCCAGTCGTAGTTCAGCAATTCCTCTGAGTAGGGATGGAAAATTTGATGTTGATAAAATCATTGCTGAAAGTACCATCCAGACTGGACGTAGAGGTAGACCTCAGAGGCAATATAAAGTCAGATTTGCATATCAAGATCCAAGTGAAGACCGCTGGTTCAGTAGAGAAGAGCTAATGGAAACCGCACCAAACATAGTATCTTACTATGAAAGAGCAAGAAAAGGTGTCAATGTTGTGGACAGATAAGAGTTTCTCAGCGGACTTCGAAATTAGGCCGTCGAGAGTAAAAGGGCCTTTATGATTCAGGCTCGTAAAAGGGACCCCTGCATGAAAAGGGCCCTCTTGGCCTGAACTCAATTTCACGAGCAATAGTCCGAAAGACAGGCCATTGGCCCAAGCAGCAGCAGACCATGGGAAAAGATACTGGGACACACACTCTGCAACAACAGGTACTGGGCAGGAGTCCCAAACACTTGGAGGCTGAGTTCAGACCTCGCCAGTCCAGTCCAGCGCTATAAAGGACTGGCCAGCCTCCTCATAGGGTAGATGCTCATTTCACATGGAAGTGTGCCGTGGCACTTGTGCGCTAGATGTGTGAGAGCTGCGCTAGGCTGTGAGCAGCGCTGAGTGTGAGAGAGAGAGAAGAAGGGCGCTGGCTGGAAGGAAGGCAGCCATAGCTGCACCAGCGCCAGTTAGTTTATTAGTAGGGATTATTAATAGAAGAGCCCAATGAGTAGTATTCAGAGTAGATCCTCGTGTGATAGGTAGTGCGCTTGTATGGTGAGTGAGAGTAGACCAGAAATATAGACACAGAAAGAGAGAAGCGAGGGGGAAGCAAGTTATGGTGAAACTTAACTGTTGAGCTCTGTACGGGATGAACAGCTGCTGGTGCTGATGAGCGCCAGGCTTGGAACTCATGTTGGATGAAGAGGACTTGTAATTCTGTTGGGTGCTAATCATTCTGAACTCGTGATTTTCTTTCTTCAATCTGGTTTGATAATCGAGTTGTGTTTCCTGGTCACCACTCATTCTCCGATGAATTTCGTGTGAGTCAATGCAATCTGCGTGATCTGTATTACATACATGCTACCTGGTACACTCCGGCAATTGAAGTTCAGTCAGGTTCCTTGCAAATGATAGCACATCGGAAGACTGAAATACCAACAATCAGACCCAATCAATGCCGTGACACAGATGGAACATCATCATCGTCATCATCACACGGTGTGCACGGCCGGGCGCCAGTACGCACAGACGAGGGTGCCAGATCCGATGCATGCACGGATGAGGAGGAGGGAGGAGAGACGGAGAGGGGGAAGAAGAGGGGAGGTGCCGTCAACCCAGAGTGTCGTCGATACCCATCCCGACAATACTCTTAAATGTCAAGTCTGAATCCCAATGTCGCAAATCTCTCTCTCTCTCTCTCTCTCTCTCTCTCTCTCTCTCTCTCTCACACACACACACACACACACACACACACACACACACACACACACACATAGTCTGACAAAGGAGAAAGGGGGCCAGAGCGCTGGAGGGGGAGGAGAAGAGCGATGGACTGGAGGAGGAGGAAGAAGATTCTCTCTCTCTCTCTCTCTCTCTCTCTCTCTCTCTCTCTCTCTCTCTCTCTCTCTCTCTCTCTCTCTGTGTATACCAGGCACTGACCTGTGAGAAGGTATCGCCTTGATGCAAGGTGTGAACCAACTGAAGACGAAGCTGGAACGATGGCATCACAGGTAAGTCGTCAGGTCAGTCTCCCTGGCCTCCGCCATAGCCAGTCTCCCTCCAACCTCCGCTGCAGCGCTAGCTCGTGGCCTAAGTCCTAACGCAGCGCCCAGCGCTGGAAGACCACTGCCATCCTATCATTGACTACAGCTACTGCTACTGAGTACCCCCACGAATGCCTGAAGAATGCCTACTCAAACTGAGGCTGACCAGCTATATATAGCGCTGGTTCGACCTCAGGTAGTGACCTGAGTGAAAAGTCCTGGCGCCTAAACTCGGCGCCCGATGGTTGGCGCCCAAACGAACGGCGCCCAGGGCCTGTGCCTTACTTGGCGCCTAACTGCTGCAGACCCGAATCGGGGTCTGCGTGACTGGGCCTAACTGGGCCTGGTGCTAACCAAGGACGCGCTCCGGCCTACTAATGCTTGGCCTAAACGGACCTACCCCTACTCCTACCTGTGCGGGCCCTGCGGGCCCGTGTGGAGCTGAGTATGCCACAGAGAGAGAGGTCGTTTCTGAGTGGCTTGCTTTTATTGTTTGGCACAGAAAAGGAAATAAAAGTGGAAAGAGAATACTTCTTAAGCACCATGGAAGAGATGTGCTGACAAGGTAGTAGATAAGAAAATATTTTGGGCAGAACAGGCCAGTTGCTGACCAGATGCACACAGGCCACCACACTCTTCATGCTCTTGGCTTTTGTTTGCAAAATTCCCATGTTTGTTCCGTGCGGAGCCGCAACATTTAAGCTAGGATTTTTATACATTTCTAAATTTGTTGATTTACATATTCTTTTCTTTTTCATGCTGGGGCTCTTCGGGGGCTTGCCATCCTGGGTATTTTGCAGGCGGAGCCGCAACAAGTAACCTAGTATGTGAGGGCCCGTTATGGGCATCCGGGCAACCAGGGGCCACCCTGGCACCAGATCTGGTGTCGTAGGAAAAAATGATGCCTTTTCCTGACTGGCAGCCTTACTTTCCTGTGAAGGGTTAGATGCGTGGAGAAATGCTCTTCATGAACAGTTCACTACGGAATGAAGGAAAGTCTGTTTGTTGCTTGTAGCTTGGAGATCACAAATCATGGTATCATGCAAATAGCTGATTATTCTGGTGTGTGTCTGTGTGCATGGATGGGCAGGAGTTCTTGAGGAATCCTGAAAGATATGCCAGGCTTGGAGCACGTCCACCAAGGGGAGTTCTTTTGGTAGGGCTCCTTTATTCTTCTACTGACTTTGGCTCCTTTATTCTTCTCATTCTGTGTGCGTGTGTGTGTGGATGCACTCATGCGTGCCTGTGTGTGCCTGCACGCATGCTCTGTTTAGCTAGGAGCTGTAATATCCTGGGACACAAATCATTGAGCAAGCAGGTAGAGTGAAATTGGCAATGGTTTCCGTCGTAGGAGTGTGTGTTTGTGTCTTGAACTTGTCGTCAACGATCATTGCCAGGTACAACACTATGATCCCTGATAAGGCCGGACTGGTGACTGGCCAAAATTTGTGGGGTCCAATCGCAGGAGCTGAAAAATCCTGGGACAAAAATCATTGAGCAAGCAGGTGGCATGATAACAGATACAGAGAAATTGGCAATGATTTCCATCGTACAAGTATCTGTGTGTTTGTGCCTTGAATTTGTTGTCCAGGACAATACTACAATCCCTGATAAGGACGGACTGGCGACTGGCCGAAATTTGTCCGGTCCAATCAATAGTATCATGGCGTTTTTCTGTCATCTATCTTTCTTTCTTTCTTTCTTTCTTT